TTACAGTCTGTGCACGAGGATCACACAGTAAAGAGAGGGTGACAGGCTGTGTGCACGAGGATAGCCCACAGAGTACAGGGAGGGTTACAGGCTGTGCACGAGGATAGCCCACAGAGTACAGGGAGGGTTACAGGCTGTGCACGAGGATAGCCCACAGAGTACAGGGAGGGTTACAGGCTGTGCACGAGGATAGCCCACAGAGTACAGGAAGAGTGTACAGGATCATACGGGTAGCCCGCAGAATCCGAGTCTCGGGGTGGGACGAGACGTAACGCACACATCTTGCAATGACAGGTACTCACGGCCCGGGAATGTCACCCAACCGGTTCCGGCGAGTTTATTGGGATGCGGTTGGTGAAATCCGGTCGCAGGTCACGGTCACCTCTCATTACTCGGAGAGAGTTACTGGAATGCGAAGGAGGGAAACCTGCCGGGCAGAGTTTTTTTTTGATGGGACGTTTTATGAGGTTGAAAGTCGGCGTTTTGACTCACCGAGATTTCTCTGTTCAGGGCGGAGACCTTCCGTGTCACGAGGAGACGGCGCAGCCGCTGCTTCTGCTGCTGCAATGGGTGAAGACGGAGCACGCGCTGCTGATGCTTTTCAACAATGGAACGCTGCAGGTGAGACAGCGCGGAATTCCCGGCCCCGGGTCACGGGGAACGTTTCATCCTAAAAACTGAGGCGGATGGTAATATAACAGTCTGGGTGATACCGCTGGCCCATAGTGCTCCAATGGCTTCCACACATCACCGCAATTAGTCTACAGGGGGTGACCAACCCATTGACATAAGATACCCCCCCCCCCCCCCCCTGCTTACCCATCAAAAAAAATGGCTTATTGATGTCACTTGTCTCCAATTGGCCCTTAGCAAACCGATTCCTCCCAAACCTCCCTGTTCCATGACTTGATCCGCCGTAGTTGCCCCATCACAAACACTGGCCGGCTGCCTCAATCGTTGCTTTTGAATAAAATGGCGTCTGTTGGCCCTAGTTCAGGGTGGCTGGAGGGCAGGATCAGCACTAGACGGCTCCCGTAGTGACATCACTGTGCTATTGGATTTGTCTGGTGGCTGTGATCCAATGACGGGCCAACCTACAGTAGAGGTACAATGCAGTGACGTGCGGTACCTCTTGCTCCGGGTAAGGCATTCCCCAGCCCCCACTGTCGGACGAAGCTCCGCCTCGCCGGACAAAGCCCCACCTCCGACCTGTACCCAAGCTAGTGGAAGGGAGGAGCCGTCCCTCACTTGCTCCTCACTGCTGAGGCACTCCGTCCATGACGGGGTTACACGGCGAGGAGGATTTCCCTGCTCAGTAACCTGTTAGAAGCCGACGTGAATGGAGAAAAAGCTGTCAGCTTCAGACATGAATCTGACAGCTTTTTCCTCCATAATTCTAGGTGAGGCTCCGCCCCCCCCCCTGACCGCACGTCCCTGGTACAATGTATAGAGACCGGTTGTCAGTCTTGTGGCTTCCACCTCTTGGTTACATTATGGGGACCACTCTCGGGGTAATGCATCCTTTGAGTATGGGGGTTCGGCACGACTAGTAAGAACGGTCGCATAGCCTGATGACTGCTAAAATGTTTCAAGACTAACCAGTGCGTTTTGGGGGGGGGCGGATGGTCTTCCCCTTCAGGGCTTGGGCTATAAGACTTGTATCTTACCGCACTGTATTTAATGGGTATCCTGTCCTGAGGCTAAATATAACCAAGGTGTCCTGCGGAGATGCCCGACTTCCCCTGAAACGCGTTGGCTCTAACATTTCTCCTATCCCAATACAAATGTAAACGCATTTGTCACCTACAATGGCTTCTCGCACGTTTTTCCTGACTGGTTCTTGTTTTTGTTTTTTTTTCCTCCTCCCGTAGGTGAATTTTTACAACGACCACACTAAGCTGATCCTCAGCAAGCCGCACGATGCGCACCTCCTCACCTACATAAACCGGGAGCGCAATTCCCAGACGTTCCCGCTCAGCTCGCTGGTGGAGAGCGGCTGCAGCCTGGATATGTACCACCGCCTGAAATACACCCTCAAGCTGCTGCAACAGAAAGCGCAGTCCTAAATGCGGAGCCGCCCACCCCGCCGCGGCCGACCTCTTTTGTGTCCCGGGACTGAGATTTTTTTGGACTTCTGCCTTTTTTGATTGGCTGCCGAGCCTCTGGACTATGTGAATGATTCAGTCCTGGGAAGGAACGGAACTGACTCTACAAGCCAATGGCTCCTCTCGGAGCTTTTTGGTGCTTCACTAAAATCCTTCCACAGACTGTAGCGAGACGCTTAAGTTGCCTTCACTTCCGTCATAGATTTTCCTGGCGTGATCCGACGCCTCCACTCACTGCACGGCGCTTTGCCAAATCCTCACCGCTCGTGGTGCTTCTCATCCTGGTTATGGGTAAAACACTTTATTTCCGACTGGCACATCAAAGGGGAACGCGGTCCGTAGATGAGCGATACTTGAACCGTGCTCGAGGCTCAATGAGCCCAACACAACGGGGATTAATCCGGTGACACGGAGCGGGTTGAGCTGTTGACTTGCTGCCTCTAAATTTCTGTTCAACTTTTTTTTATTGTGCTTGTTTAAAAAGAATCCCCTC